GGCAGGGACCAAGTATTTGAGCCAGAATCCACAACACAGCCTGGGATGTGGGGGGCTCAGGTGGCATCTGAACGCTGGGTCACACACCAGCACCCGACCCACTTCAATGCACTATCTGACTGGCTTTCATAACTTCCCTTGCTTTCACACTGCAGAGCAGGCACAAGCAGACCTCACGGCTTATCCAGACACCTGTAATCCCAGCAGTTCGTCTAAACAAAGATGAACTGCGTTAGCTTGGACTAATGGGGACCGACAGGACTGAAGCTGTGCTTGACAAATCCCCAGCTGCACGTTGGTGGCATGGCTGCCTTCTAAATCCCCAACTGCCTAGGTAACCTTGTGCCTAGGCAAGTGTTACACTGCTGGGAGAAAAGCAGACAAGAGCGGTGGCCTTCCTGGGCCTGGCTAAGGCAAAGTTTGTGTTAACCATATCAGTATGCCGGCATAGTTGCTTTAAAAAAAAAAACATAGGAGCGATCAGGCTCAAAGCATTGTAGCCTAGTGGCTAAAGTCCTCACTTTGCATGAGCCAGGATCCCACGTGGGTGCCAGTTCTGATCCCAGAGGCCCTGCTTCCCATCCAGCTCCCTGATTGTGGCCTGGGAACATAGTCAAAAACAGCCCAAAGCCTTGGGACCCACATTTGAGACCCAGAAGAGCTCCTGGCTCCTGGCTTCAGATAGGCTCAGCTCTAGCCATTGTGACCACTTGGGGAGTCAATCAACAGACGCAAGATCTTCCTCTCTGTCTCTCCTCTCTGTATATCTGACTTTCCAGTAACAATAAAATAAATCTTTAGAAAAAAAAAAAAAGAGTGCCAAGCGGGCCAGAGCATTTGCCAGTAAATAAGGGGGCTCAGACTGGGTGGTCTGGAGGAGAGAACCTGGAACCTGGAGGACCCTTTCTGTGTCAGATCAGTGCACCTGCTCATGTGGAAGACCTGGCCTGGGCTAGTTAGCATCAACCACCACTCACCAGTGCACACGAAAGCTAGGGCTGGGGGGCCTGCCTGGCAGGGATAGACCACAATACCCCCCAATAAGTGTCGGAACAGGGACTGGGCCATGTCAGGCTGGACCAAGACACTAACCAGCATGTGAGAGAAGTGGATCTGGGGGCAGATTCTGTGGGGGATTGTAGGCTCACCCCAAAGGGTACAATATCCACTGGTTTGCTCAAGAGCTGGGAGTGGTGATGGGCTGAACCAGGCATGACCAAGGAACTCATCAACACTTAAAGGAACTGGGGTTAGAAGCAGGCAGGATTGGTCCAGATGGCAGCACCCAAGAATTGGATGTGGAGTGAGCTGGAACACAACACCTGCAAGCTCAAAGGTCAAGACTGAGGGGCAGACCATGCTGGGCAGAGGCCTAGCACTTGCCAACACATGTGAGATCTGTGTCCAGGAATGGGCCTAGTGGGGGAACTTGGGGGACTCCCCTGATGTGCTATAGCTCCCACTAGTAAGCACATGTCTCATGGTTGGCTGTGACGCAGGCTGGGTAAGTCTGCTCCGCTTGTTGCCAAGTGCACAGGCTAGCTCGGGGGGTGGACTGGACAGGGCCAGGCCAAACTATAAAACACTGGCATGCACAGAAGCCAGGGTAGGGTGCAGGCCATGCTGGGCTAAGCTATCACAACTGCCAGTTTGCATGAAAGTCATGGATCTGTGGCTGAGTATGCCTGATAGAAGAGCTGAGGAGACAGCCCTACTGGACTGTGGACCCCACTGGTAAGCATGAGGGCTGGCTGGGAATAGGGGTGGACCAGGCTAAAAATAACAGTAACACCCTTTGGTATGAGTGTGGGCTGGGAGTGTGCCAGACTGAGCCAGGCTTCAGCACCCACTGGTGCTTATGAGAACCAAAATAAGTATAGGATGGTTTGGGCTAGGTCACGGCACCTGTTGCTCCACATGAGAGTCAGGTCTGGGTGTGGGCCAGGCAGGGCTGGGCTGTAGCACCCACCCTACAGTTCCTGTCAATGAACATCAAGACTGAAGTGGGCCAAGTCAGACAGCCAAATGCCACAACTGGGAGCTGATCTGATAGGGGAGCTTGGGGAACTCCCTTTAAGATACAACCCCAGCTGGTGATCATGAGAACTGGGGCTGGGAGCAGCCCAGGCCAGGCTGGGCTACCGTACCCATCGGTATACATGTGCCTCAGGTCTGGAGGAGGGTTGGGCTGGGCCAGTCTGCAAGACCTGTTGGCAAACACAAGAGTCAGGACAGAGTGCAGGTCAGGTCAGGCCAGGTTAGAATGCAACACTTTCCAGGTAACATGAGAGCCATGACTAGTGGCTGGCCTGACTGTGGTAGGCTTCAGCAGCCCTCAGCATGGATTGGAACTGGGGGCAGGCAAGGCAAAAGCTAGACTGCAGCACCCACTGATGAATGCTGAGGTGAAATGTGCCAAGCCAGACTGGGTTGTAGCACCCTCCTGCACATACAAGACCCCAGGCCAGGAAAGAACCTGGGATGGGAGGGGGTGCTCCAGGGGCTCCCCTGCTGGGCTACTACTCAGGTGTGAGAGCTGAGCCTGGGGGCAGACCAGGCTGGGCAGGGCTGCAACAACTACCAGCTTGGAAATGAGCTGGGTTTGGGGGAGGGCCAGGCTAAACCATCCACTGGTGCATGCAAGAGCCAGGGTAAGTGCCAATTGACCAGGCTTTGCTGCGGCATCCATTGTCAAGTGCTGGGACAGGGTGCTAGTGGTGTTACTGGACCACAGTACCCTCTGGAAGTGCAAGATCTGAGACTAAAGTGGGCCTAGTAGGGAAACTGTGGGCACTCCTTTGTTGGGCTGGGGGTGGATCAGGCTGGAAAAGGTGGCACTACCTGTCAGCATACATGTAGACTTGGCAGTGGAGTGGGTGGGTTGAGATAGGCTGCAACACCCATAGGTGTGTATGAGAGCCTGACTGGGATACGGCATGGGCCGAACTTGTCTGCTGTACATACTGACACACAGAAACTGGGGCTGGGGGCAGGCCTGGCGGAGGTTATTGGGGGTTGCCACAAACAGGCTGCAGGTCCCTGCAGATGTGCACATGGAACAGATCTATAGCAGGATGGGTCGGGCTGGGCCAAGGCACCCATCACTTTGCACAGGACATGGGGCTGGGGACAGAAATGACCAGGCAACTACAGTCATTCGTGTGTGCCTAAGCTGACACTGGTGCCGGACTGAACCCAACCCTGTACTAGGTCTGGGATCACGCCCGGAGTATCACAGGATTTGTAGTTTGACCGTGGACCACAGGCACGTGTCATGACTGGGTCTCCTTAATTGCTGATGCCTGTGCAGTGGAGAGCATGCCCAGATGCATATGGGGGACAAGCAGCCAGTTCACTTAGGCCTGCAGAGGATATCAAGTGCCATGTCAGAAGATATGGCACAGAATGGGTTGGACAACTCTCCTGTCTGAGATTTGGCAGCGAGTGCCTGGGTGGACGCACTGAGATGGACTTTACCAGCCAATGAACCTTGGAAGCATTTTCTCAACCTTGGAGCAACAAAAGCAACAGCACCTCACAACTATCGAAATCACCCAAGCAGTGTCCTTGGAACATTCTCCTCCGCATCAAGGTTTCTAAGATGACATCAAGTGGACATCCCCCATCCCCAAGTACTGACGCAGTCTGGCTGCTGGGAGTGGCCCCCTTCTCGTCCCAACCCCGTCCACAGGAGAAAAGGGAAGAAAAGGAAAAACGGAAGCATTTGTCCCACCCACCTTCCCTCATGCCTCAACCCTCCCCTAAACAGTGGTCCTCATGGGCATGCATCCCTATCAACCAAGTAAACAACACCAAAACCAAAATAAATGTTTAAAATAAAGTATAACAAAATTTGGTGGAAGTGTGTGATCCACAGAGGCGGGGTTGTGGTGCAGCCAGTCAAGCCACCACCTGCAGCAGCAGTTCGAGTCCCCTCTGCTCCACTCTCAACCCAGCTCCCTGCTAATGACATGGCAGTGCATCAAAGGATGGCCCAAATGCTTGAGCCCACATACCCATGTGGAAGACCTAGAAGACACTCCTGACTCCTGGTTTCAGGCCAGCTCAGCACTGGTTACAGCTATTTGGGACCAACCCAGCAGACTGAACATTGCTCTCACCTCCTCTCTCTCACCTCCTCTCTCTGTAATTGCCTTTCAGATAAATTAAAAAAAAAATTTTTTTTTAAGCTTCACGCTCCATTTGTTTTTCAATACCAGGTTGACCAAGTATTTTCCCTCCAACTAGCCGTAAATGCAAACTACCTTCTTCTGAGATGGTTCAGGGGTTTAACCAAGTAGGAACACCTTGGATTCAGTGACAATAAGCTCCAGACAACAGCACGTACATCTTAAGAAAGAACTGCGGCTTCGAGACAGAGACATCGACTGCCTCTCCTTTAAGCACCAAGGGAGGCTGGTAAGGTGGAAGATGCTTCTCCTGGCTCGCTGGCATCTGGCCACGTGAGACACTGCACAGACACAGCTGGCCTGACAGAAGCACTGTGTCACCCCCGAGATTTCCAATCTGTTCCCCACTGCGGCAGCCAGCCAGTGTCCAGGGCCTGACAGAGGCCAGAAAGGCACTCCTCACACCCCCAGGAAGCCCGTGCAACTCTGTCCCCAATTCCGATATTTCAGTGTGAGGATATGAGGAAGGTAGCACAGTGATGAGGCAGAAAGCTCACAGCCTAAGGCCCAGGACAGATCGCCACGCGGCCTTTCTCCGGGGTGGCTCAGCACTGCTGCTCTTCAGCCAGGAGGGCACATGCTGAGCTGCTCAAAACTGACCCAAGCAGTCACTTCTTCAGGGGACAGGTGACAGCCAGCAGAGGCTGGAGAGCCCAGGGAAGGAAGGAGAGGGGGTGTGGGTGGACAAGATGGAAGCCTATGCAAACTCCCAGATACTCCTGGCCTGGGCCTAATAGATCCAGACTCTTCTACAAACAGAACTGCTCTCTGGAAACTATGTTGGTGGGTTCCGAAGGGCAGAGGCAGCTATTTTTAAAGTATTTATTTACTTGCTAGTTACCGCTAGTCCTAGCTCTCTGCTGAGGCGTAAACACATGTGAAGAATGGAAGCGAGGGGCTCACGGACACAGCTCAGCCCGGTGGGACAGAGGTCTCCATGATGGCAGGGAGCTGCGTGTCCAGGCTGGCACTCCCCCGCAGTCTCAGGGACTCAGCAAGGGCTGGCCCACAGAAGCACTCCCAGAGCAAAGGCGAAGGTGTGTTTACTGCGGTGGCTCGTACGTGGAGACCCTCATTTTTGGAGGATGGCGAGGCATTTGACGATCCACTCTCTCCAGTCCTTGAAGGCTTCCACAGGTTTGGGCAGATTCACATTATCCTCACGACTCTGTCTCGGGGTAACCGCCGGGGTGCTGGCAGATTCATCGTCGATCCACTTCACCAGCGCCTTGAAAACCACAGAAGAGACGGATTTGAACAAATCACAGCAGAACACTTTTAGACAAGGGAAAATACTGGCTTCTCAACGTGGTGATCTAAGTCTCCGACTTACATTACCCCGTGAAGATCTTGCATCCAATTAAGGTGGTCATGAATGTACAACAGAATTTATGACACACTCATGTCAGAACTAGTCAAATTATGATTATAAATGATGGTCAAAAGTATGCATAGGAAAAATATATACACACTGTACACACAGACCCTGTGTTTTTAGGAGAGTGAGATAATTCATGTTTTCCTTCAACTTGGTAAATATTCCACAAAGCAGCACAGCACGCTTTCAGTCTGGCGTGCATATGTGAAGTGCACACCCAGGCATGGGGAGGAGGCGTGTGTGTAAAGACGCATGCGCGGACTGAGTCAGTCACGCCCATGAGCAAGAACAGGAATATCAACTGGTATGCTTGAGGCCACGCGTGGGTGCACACGGCCATCGGGGCTTGCCCTCTCTGGCTCCTGCTAGTGAGCACACCTCTTCACACACTTGAGAATGCAAATCATGTCACACGTATGGTTAAAAGAAATTAGCTGTGCCACACGTTTCAACATTGTCTCTCTTCTGTAAAATGGGAAGATTTCTTCCCCTAACGAGAAGAGAAACAGAACTTTCTTCCACATTTCTCATTGCATTATACTTAAATCACTCACAGGCAAGCTGAAGTTTTTAAGAAAGGTATTTCTTTGCATGTTTTTTTTTTTTCAAACCACAGCTTCCTGCTTATCTTTTACACTAATTTCCTCTGATAAATTACAGCTCTAGAGAAGGGCCTGATAGAAAATGTCAGTTTTCTACTTGGAGAACCACTTCCGCTCTCCTCCCTCTCCCTTCCCCCCTGCTTACTTTGTATCTCTCTACGATGCTGAAGCCAACAGCACACTGCAACTTGCGTAAACAGATGGGGCAAAGATTCAGAGGACGCCGGTCAGCTTCTTCGAGGTGGTTGGAACCTTGCATCAGACATGCGAGCCACTGGCAGTGTCGCAGTCCAAATATGTGTCCGATCTCGTGGGTTAAGGTCTGCAAGACATTCCCAGGGAGACTCTGTAGCGACACTACCACTGTTAGATTCCTTTTCACTCCTGCTTTTCCAACAGAAACATTGACACACATCAACTCCCTTATCATCATCGCCAGCCACTCACTCTGTCCACATTTTCAAAGGCATAGTAACCCTCTTCCTTCAGTGCCTTCCCACTTTGCTCAGTCCTGTGACTAGCCTGCACAGGACCTTCCTTGCTGTGAGCAGCTGTGCTGTGCACTGCAGAGTGGCTCTTACAGCATCCTTGGCCTCTGCCCCCCAGAAGCCAGCAGAACTCCCTCCCCAACCACCACCCCCAAGCACTGCCAAACAGTGAGCAGCAGTAGCCTCAAGAAGGGGCTACTTGTTACAATTCAGGTCTCTGGAGTCCCTTCCCCAGAGACACTGGCTCCGTGGGTCTGCGAGGAGGAGGTGAGTTTGAACTGCATACAGACGAGTGATTCTGGGAAGCTGACTTGGGGAAGCTGACTCGGGGGCCCAAAAAACAGACTTGGAAAACACTTGCCAAAGATGTAATTCTTAAACCTCAACAGGGAGGAAGAATCCTCAAAAAGTTCATGGAAATACTATGATTTAAAAAAAAACACAAAAAAACAAAAACCATGCAGGGATTTTGAAATTTTTCACACCAAGATAAATTTATTTCTTTAATTCCATGAATTTTTGAAGTCCCTGGCAGTGCTGGTAAAACCAGCTGTCTCACTGAGGGAAAAGCCTGTCTCCAGCGACACACAAAGCGGGACATGGAGAGGCAGGGATTTTCCCAGGGAGCAGTGGGGAAGGAAGACAGTAGTGTAGGGTAGCTTGGGCATCCCCCAAGAATGAGGCTGTTCCCCTTAAGAAGAAGCAAACAGACACAAGTCCCCAAAACTCCTCGGGGAGGCAGCTCTACTGGGTGATGCCAGCAGCCTCAGTGGGCAGGCTGCCGACACACACCGGAAGTGAGGAATTCAACCAATCATGAGACGTGTACAGGCAAGGCAATGTGTAACCAGAAGGGACCAAAACCTGGCACCAATTCCATAAATTACAAAATTAAGGTATCCTTTCGAGTTTTGCATTTACTGTATTACGCAGGTCAAATAATACCCATTAAAAGTATGTAAATGGTACAAACTCTTTTATAGCATTGCCTAAGGACTGACTGTATGATGTAGGGAGTCCTTTCTGTCTGGGGGCACCAGCACTATGGTATAGCAAGTCAAGTGGCTGCTTGTGATGCCAGCATCCCATACAGACACCGATTCCAGCCCTGGTTACTCCACCTCTTATCCAGCTCCCTGCTAGTGGTCTGGAAAAAGCAGAGATGGGTCAAGTGCCTGGGCCCCTGACACCACGTGTGAGAGCTGGAAGAAGTTCCTAGCTTCTGGCTTTAGCCTTGCACAGCTGCAGCCACTGTAACCATTTCAGGAGTGAACCAGTAGATGGAAGCTCTCTCTTCTTCTCTCTATAACACTTTCAAATAAATAAGTAAATAAATAAATATATCTTTTTAAATAAAGTCATGAGGCCCGGTGTGACAGCCTAGAGGCTGAAATCCTCGCCTTGCATCAGCCAGGATCCCATATGGGTGCTAGTTCTTATCTGGTTCTTAGCTGCTCCATTTTCCATCTGGCTCCTTGCCTGTGGACTGGGAAAGCAGTCAAGGATGGTCCAAAGTCTTGGGACTCTACACCTGTGTGGGAGACCCTGAAAAAGCCCCTGGCTCTTGGCTTTGTATTGGCTCAGCTCCGGCCATTGTGGCCACTTGGGAAGTGAGCCAGTGGATGGAAGACCTCTCTCTCCATATATCTGCCTTTCCAATAAAAATAAATAAACAAACATTAACAACAACAACAACAAAAACACAGTAGTCACTCCAATCTTTCCCAAGGGGGAGTGGCGATAGAGAGATCTGTTTTACAATGCTCCTGCACAGTTTTTTAAATAACTCACCTTACAGGATCGAAGCAGCAAAAGACTAGTTATTTCAGGAATATAATAGTTATCAAAAATTGAATAGTCATTGGAAGATTTTTTCTGGAGCTTCTTCACTTTGCCTTCATAGTGCGAGCTGTAAAAGTCCCTGCCATACCTGGCGAAGCTGAATATCCCCACACCTACAGAGAGCAAACAATTGCAGGGTGAAGACACAATGTCCACGGCGAGACCAGAAAGCAGCCTGCTCCGACACCCTCTCACACCTGTGGTTCCATGTTCACCAGTCTAGTGCAGTTCTGCCAACAGAAGCAAGGCCCTTGCCCTAGATGTTCTGATCCTATCAAAACCTTCTTCTAGGGTAAGCATTTGCAACAGCAGTTTGTTTTTATTTTACTTTGTTTTTTAAAGATGTTTATTTATTTGAGAGACAGCTGCCGAGAGAGAGAGGTAGAGACAGAGAAATCTCCTGTCCACTGGTTCACTTCCCAAGTGGTTTGCAATGGTGAGACACAGGCCAGGTCAAAACCAGGAGTCAGGTATTCTAGGAGAGTGCCAGAGTTCCCAAACCCTCAGGCCAGCCTTGCTGCTGTCCCAGGTGCATGAGCAAGGAGCAGGATTGGAAGCAATGCAGCCAGGCCTCCCACCAGCACTCAGCCGGTCACCCAGGCAGCAGCATCCCTCCAAGGACCACAGGAGATGCCCCACCCCATATCGGAGCGTCCAGATTCTGTCTGCTTACAGCTTCCTTCCGAAGCACACCCTGGCAGCAGGTGATGGGCCAAGTACTTGGGCCTCTAGCACCCATGCGGGCGGCCAGGCCTGATTTCTAGGTTGCTGGCTTCCTGCACCCCGGCCCAGACCTGGGAAGTGAACTAGCTGATGGAAGTTCAACCTTTGGCCCTGTCTGTGTCTTTTGAATAAAACGAAAATGTAAAAATAAAACTTAAAAAAATTAATTTGAAAAAAAAAATCTTCTGATATCTGATTTTACCTACCTTGCTAAAATTTAATGGACTTGAGGTTAAATCTTAAGGAATTCTAAACTTCATAGCCCAACTAGGTGGACAATGTGTCAAATTTCTGTTTTCGTGTTTACTTTTGGACAAAACTGCATGACTAGTTACCAGATTATTCCTTTTGTTGGTCATTCTGCTATCTAAACTGTTGAACATCGTAATTTATGAATCAGTCATACATTTAATTAAAAAAAAAACTACCAAGTGATTTCTTTTGAATATTAATTGAGTACTGGTAGTAAACATGTCCACCCAGAGAAATAATTCTATTATTAAACAATTTGTCTTTTTTTTTTAAGTATTAAATTTGTATTTCAAGCAGTTTAATGAATTCGAGAGTAAGGCATAGTAGTCAAGCAACCGCATTAATCATTAAATTGGTGAATTTCCTGCAATAATTTGATTTTTTAAAAAAAGAAGAAGAATTTGAAGCTTCGGGGTTTTTCCCCCATGAAATAAAATCTCTGAAGGAATAGTACAAAGTACTCTAAAAGAAATAATGAAAGAGAAGCACTGGCCTGGTGTGATAGCCTAATGGCTAAATTCTTGCCTTGCAACACCAGGATCCCATATGGACCTGTCTTGGCTGCCCCACTCCCCATTCAGCTCCCTGCTGTGGCCTAGGAAAGCAGCAGAGGATGGCCCAAGGCCTTGGGACCCTGCACTGTGTGGAAAATCTGGAAAAAGCTCCTAACTCCTGGCTTTGGATCGGCTCAGCTCAGGCCACTGTGGCCGCTTGGGGAGTGAACAACCAGACAGATCTTTCTCTACGTATCTCCTTCTATCTGTAAATCTGCCTTTCCAAGAAAAGTAAAGAAAGAAATCAGAAAGAAAGCAAGAGAAGGGGAGGAGAGGGAGGGAAGGAATCTCGGGAACAGCAGGGAGTCACCATTTCACTCTTTCAGAATCCCATCAGCAGATTTCTCTTTCTCACCTAGCTACGTGGGCACTGCCGCCCTTCCCCCAACCTCACTACTGATACCCGCCCATCCACCCAGCCCTCTGCCCAGGCTGTCCCCAACACCACGTTCTGGCCCACACCTTTAAGCACAATAACCTCTCTCCCTCCTCCTATCTGCTGTGAGAGCACAGGCTGACTCCACTGGGGCTGTTGTCAGAGCCCAGGGTAAACATCCTTGTAACTGACTTCCTGTGTTACAATTAGAGTTCTATCTGCCATCCTTGCAGGCATGAAGAATACAATTTGATGTTAACTGGCTCTACAGGGAACTGCTCTAAAATGCAACATGTTTACATTAGTGCTTTTGTTTATGCTTTACTGTGCGTTACTTTACAGTTGCAGTAAATTGTTTTATGAGGAAATTAACTCACAGTGGACTTGTTCACGCTAGCCTGATTCTGCCCACATAAAGTGTAAACTGATATTGGAAACGCAAGGAAAGAGAACATGCTACAAGCTAAGCAAAGACTAAATCACGTATGTATCACAAGTGACCTCCTCTGGCCAAACATTTCACTCTAACAACGCCTTTAGCAAGAATGGTCCACTCTTCTAGAGAGTCTACAAACAAAAGATCATTTCTTTACCAGTGTCTCTCCACTACAAACGCTAATTTGAAGCAACTTGGAGAAAACACAGTCCCTCGTGGCAGGTCCTGCAGGGAAGATCGAACCCCACTACCCTGCCACATCCTCTCTCATATGCTGCAATATTTAAGAAGCTTACAAAAAAAAGTATTCCTTTGAAAGGCATAGAGAGACAGATGGGGGAGAAATTCCTTTAAAAGAAAGAACAGTTTATGGTAATGTCTCCTATCCCCACCTCCTCATATGCACAAGATAAGTTAGCCACCAAGACCCAGAGAAATGAACAAGTTGTTTTTAAATTATTTGTAATGTTTCCATTTCTACTAGGTCAATACTGAAAGAGCATGTCTGATAAGAAGCCAGATCAAAGCACAAGCAGGCATGACACAGGAGTGCCCCTCACCACCCCGTCTCCCAGGAGAAAGCTGTAAGGACGCTCACAGAACGGAGGACCGAGGATGAAGGAACGGGGATGGGGGAGGCCGCTGTGGAAGGAGCCATCGCTCAGAGAGAGCCTGGGACCAACGTGGCACAGACACATCACGGGCTCTTAGCACAGCCCCAGGACCTGCTGCTGTCTCCAGGAACACTACAGAGCCCCTTTCCTCAGCCCCCTGGGCTCTTCTCGCTCAAGCCCGTCACAGATCCTGGCAGGTGAGATCAGACAGTGAAAGGCCAAAACACACAGAGCAGAGAGAAGTGGAGGTGGGGAGAAGAGAATGTGCGAGAACATGCAGGAACTTTCCTGATCCTTCCCCACCTCCCATGTTACCATGCACAAGTCCCTGAGAGTCCAAGGTGACTGTACCTCAGATCAAAGACTAGAGCTGACTTCAGGTTAAAACACACACACACACTGAAAAATGCATGCACACTAATTTATCAGTCTGTGGCTATTCATATAGGATGACTATGAAAAGGTGAGAAATAATGAACATTTTCATGTGTGTTACAGCCGCTCATAATACCTGTGATTTGTTTAATTTTCCTTACTACTGAGGTGTTTACATGTACTTTCTGTTGCAATGAACACCTAGATGGTGGCAGATACACATAAGCACTGTTAGCATATTGTAATTTTTATGTAAATTATCTCAAAACTACTGTGAAGTTACTAGCTTTAAGATGGTTAACAGTGAAGCTGATACTGGGGCACAGGGGTAAGGCATCCGGAACAGAGCCGGTCTGAGTCCTGCTGCTCCACTTCCAATCCTGCTCCCTGCGAATGCTGCTGGGAAAGCACCCATGGGCTCCTGCCACCCGTGATGGATACCTAGATGGAGCTTCAGGCTCCTGGCTTCAGCCTGGCCCAGCCCCAGCCACCGGGGTCATTTGGGGGAGTCAACCAGCACATGGAAGATCTGTCCCTCTCTCTAACTCTGCCTTTCGAATAAACGAATCTTTAAAATCTCACCTCCCAATTCTCCTCCCAAAAAAGACAGTGAGCTTCCCAGTACGTCATGATGACCCGCCCCCCTGAAAGTACTACGCAACGTCAAAGATCAGGATTATTCTTGGCTGGGACAGTTTTCCTTTTGCCACTTTAAAATATCCTCAAGTCATCTTACAGTTTCTACCAACAACATCAAAGTGAAATACCATCCGTGAGGGAGGCCTGTCCGAAGACAAAGTTCCAAGAATCTCTTGGGTACAGGTCAATCATTGTAATCCCCACAATGCAGAAGGCATCTACGGGTTTCTTCTTCTTCAAGAACTTCAGGATGTGCCCTGTTTTTAAAGAAATGCATGTAGGTGTATATGATCTATGTAGAAACACACAAACGCTCTTCAAGTTGCAGGACTGCCCCACTCACCCGCGTGGATCTGTAGGTTTTGTGTGTTATCGTTGATTCTAAAGGAACACCTTGTGGCAGAAACAGAAACTGGTTCGAGGAGTTTCACCGTCAAACCGTAGAAAAATGCTTCACAATAGCCCTTGAGCCACCGGATATATTCCTCACTGATAATCCGGGTGTTTCCTAGGGAGCCTGCAACACAAGGGAACATTTAAAGATGCACTTTAACAGGGGTGAAATGTTCAGCCTTCCGAATCTGAAATTAGAAGCAAAGTCAATTTCAAATTTTCCATATGCTGTATCAAACATCGATGTCAATAAGAAGTGCCGGGCCCGGCGCGGTGGCGCAGTGGTTGAGGTCCTCGCCTTGCACGCCCAGGATCCCATATGGGCGCCGGTTCTAATCCTGGCAGCCCCACTTTCCATCCAGCTCCCTGCCTGTGGCCCGGGAAAGCAGTAGAGGACGGCCCAAAGCCTTGGGACCCTGCACCCGCGTGGGAAACCCGGAAGAGGCTCCTGGCTTCGGATTGGCATAGTATCGGCCGTTGTGCTCACTTGGGGAGTGAATCACAGGACGGAGGATCTTCCTCTCTGTCTCTCCTCTCTGTATATCTGCCTTTCCAATAAAAAAATAATAATAATAAAAATAAATCTTAAAAAAAAAATAAGAAGTGCCACACTTGGTGGCATCATTTTTCCTAAGAGACTTCTGCGTTTCCTTTTTGTCACTCAGGTGTTGGTCACTCCGTGGCGCATTTTTTCATGGTGCTATAATTTGCTGTTGATGTTCTTGTTGTTGCTGTGGCTGTTCTAACTCATACCAGTTGTTGACCTTGTTTATGGCTCTTAATTATGGAAATGTATAGTGATGGAGTACTGGGGTCTAGCATATGCAGATGTGGGGGAATAATGGAACATGCATCCCTGCTTTCAGACGAAAGATTCCCATTGAAACTGCTGGACATGTGTAGACAATGGGACGCTGGAATGCCTGACATTGTCTGTACAAGCAATGTCAGGGTACATTTAAATAAGAGACTAACAGATTTATGATTCCTTATGAAGGACTACACCATTGTAGTAAAATGGGGAAAACCTGTTGGAGGTGGGAGTTTGGGGGCGGGGGAATCCCAGCCTATACGAAACGGTACCACATAATTCAGAATTCAAAATAAAAATGTATTAAAAAAAAAAAAGAAGAAATGCAATGCTCATTTTAAGGCAGCGTGGCTAGAAAACATCGGTAACGTCAGTAAATGTCAAAGCGATAAAACTGCCTATTGGAATCCAAACCATGGCACAAACTACACCTGACAAGGACACCAGTGTGATGCCAAGCCCATCCTGTGGCTTACCAGCACGTACCAATGGCCTGTATGTAGATGCTACGCTTCTCCGAAGAGGGCGTGTTTCTATAAGGATCGCTGAAAAACTGCTCAAAGTCTTGGGGCGCCTCAGGATGGGAGGTGATCCAGTCTGACTGGGAGTGCAAGGTTATTGGTCCAAAGAGGTCACCGGTGGGCTGGAAGGCTTCACTCAGCAGACGCCGCTCCCCGGCCTCAAGCTTCTCATACTGAGCCGCGAGCGCCGGGTTCTTGGAGATGAGAGCTGTCTTCAAGGTCTGCTCGGAGTGCTGGAGGACTTGCATCTACCCAAATGACAGGAGTCGTTAAAGGCGAGCGCACAGCCACACGGGAGGACTTCGTCTACCCTCCGCGGACACCCCCTCACTGCCCCCTGGGATGGAACGACCACGTGCTAGTCACACCTGGAGCGGTACCCTACCAACGAGGGTCCTGGGGACGGAAACTAAGAAACTGCAAATCACAAAACCCACTTCTCCACTCCACACGGAACCTGATTTAGGCATAAAAAAAATTAACGGTGGCCGTGACAGCATGGCTTGACATCCCTCGGTTTTCTGGTTGGGCAATGGCTTGACTCATCAGGGCCACATGAAGAACACGCATTCTTGCCAATGTGACTCAAGGACACACCGTGGCAAACTCCTGGAGAACTGAAGTCAGTGTTCCCATTTGTGTAACTTCCCTGTGGGTAAGGAGAACTGTCTCGGGCCGGGAAGGGGACAGCCCCCAAGCCCTGTCCCATCAGGGGAGGCATCTGCCGACTCACGGTGACAGGTCTCCTCCATTCACATCTTGTTCCTAGGCACGGATGTCATCCTCCCCTTCCCGATGGGTCAAGCATGTGCCACCAGGAGCCTGGTGAGTTGGAAAAGGAAAAACTGGGACATTCCCGACATTCCCGACGGATACTGTGTCGTATCCGTCTGCACCCCACCACACTGCCTCACCATCTAGATTTTTCCAGCTTGACAGACTAAAGGGAAACCCGAAGCTGCTGTCTGAATTCTGGAATTCCAAGAGTGGGGGATTTTCCTCTCCAGCACCTGACTTCACCCCAGGACAACAGGGTGAGCCTGAAACATCCTCTCTCTTCTACCTACCTTTAGAAAGGAGGGACGCTCCCCTTGAAGTGCTCACCTTACAAGGACAGGCATGTCCGGGAAATGTCGCTGCAAGGGGGTACCTTCGCCCTAACATTAGAAACAACAGCCCAGTGATGTGAAAGGCCAGGAGCCTCCAGGTCCGACCTGGGCGGCGCACAGGGGATGCGGGATGAGCCTACCACGGGCTAGGGCACCTGGAATGTGTTGTTGCTAACGCCAGAGCATCGCGGGCCAACGCTTCGGTCCCCAACCACCAGGTCCCAGCTTGCTGGTTGCCCATAGCAACTCCGCCTAGCAGGAGCCAACCACTGGCAGGCTGGAGGCGGTGTGTGTGCGGGGCGGGAAGGGGGATCCCCCCGGATCTGTCACGGCGCCCTTTTTCCTCTGGGAGCCTCCCTCCAAGGCCGGGTCGGAGTTGGGGACACCCCGCCCACGCAGTCCTCACCGCTTCCGCCCCGGGCACCCTCCCGTCTCCTCCTCCTTCCCACCGACCGCAACCGTCCCCGGCCTCTCGGAGCCCGGCCTCCCCAGCCCGGCCTCCCCAGCCCAGCAGCCCCAGTTGTCCAAGTCCCACCGACGGCCCTCACCCCGACAGGGCTCGGCGCCCGGCGCCCCAGCGCGCACGCGCGGATCACGCCGCACGCGCGCGCCGCGTCACGCCCGCTTCCCTCCGGCCACGCCCCCACAGCCCGCCCCTCAGCGCAGGGCGGTCTGGGCCGGCGCTGCCCAGCGTGGGAGGGTCGCGAGGGGGCGTCGGGGCACCGCGGTCGGGCCCTGCCGTGCCCTGGCAGCCGCGGCCGGCTTTCCAGGCTGTGGAGCCGTCCGGGTCACGGGACTGCTGGCGCGAGGCGCCCCGCGCGGGCGGTTGCGTCAAGCGGTCGCAGTTCCGTCCGGCGGGCCGCGGGCCTTGTCGGTGTGTCAGTGCGCTCAGGGCTTCGAGAAGAGCTCTCGGCATGACTAATTTATAACCCGCCGCGGCCGCAGGGTGACGCCGAGCCTGGCCGCTCGCTCCTTGGAGCTGAGGCGCACCAGGCGGCCCCGGCGTGCAGCGGCCGGGCCCCCCGGGGGCTGCAGCCGACCCGGGTGCACGGGAGAGGCCGGGAGCCGTGAGAGCTGCGTGCCGCGGGCCTGGCGGTTCTGGCTGCGCTCCGGGTCCTCTTGGGGACATCAGGTGCGAACCTGAGCACCCCTGTGCAGCTGTTCTTACATCCCCAGCTGATCAGTGCCCTCCAGTTACACAGCGTTGCCTCTGCCTTTGGGGTGATGAGCACCCAGGCCTCCACCCACGCACTCCTTCCTTCCTCTCCACCCCCCTCCCCACCCCACACCGCACTTCCCTGGGCTTCATCCCACGCTGCACCTCAAAGAACCCCAAGAAGCACCATCCCTTTATAAACCTGTTCCCTGACACCTCCACCTCTTCCCACTGGTTCTCTCCCACGGCTGCACCGTAAAGGATGCACATCTTTCCTCCCTGGAAGCTGCTTTTTCCCTCCCAAACGTCCCTCCAGGATACGCAGCTTCTGTTTTTGTGGTCCAGCTAGTGTGCTGCTTCTGATGGTGGAAGGGCCCCTCTACCACATACTCTGGCTCTCACCCACCCGGCTTTTCTTGCCCCGTCTCCCCGGAGAAGACACAGCACACACTTGTTCCACATTCACTTTAAGATTTTCACTCTGCGAGTGGGTTCAGAGTCTTCTGGATCTAACCATTTGTTTTTTGGCTGCAACGCCCGTACCCACACTGCAATAAAAGGCATTCTGTGGGTGTTCCGATCTCAACGCTTGCTGGCCTGCTGCAGGGGCCTCCCCCTAGCACTGTAACCATAGTGCTGTTGGATCCCCTGTGCTTCTGAAATTCTCCGGCTCCCTCTTTCTTGGGCACACTCCTTTCGGAAGCACATCCCAGAGAACCTTCTGGAATACAAACACATAGCATACATACTTTGAGATCCCGCCCGTGTTCTTTGCTGAGAGCTTGTCTCCGTGGGTATGGGTATCTAGGTGGAAAACCGCTTCCTTCAGAACTGTAGAAAAACTTCCTTCAGAACTGTAGAAAAAGTTTGTTCTGAATTTTTCTTCCTATTACTTTGAGATGTCCGTGCCAGTTTGGTTTCTAGTTCTTTGTGTGTTGGCTGTTCTGTTTAGCAAGATCCTAGACCCCGTTCTCGGGAGCATGCTGAAGTTTTATGGGGATCAATGTGCCCCTTCCCCGTTTATCTTGGTCGCTTCGTGGGCCCTCCAGCCTGGAGAGGCTGCTTCCATCCTGAGAAGAAGCCATTCCTCAGGTAAGTTCCCCTCCTGTTTTTGCTGGATGTTGGGCTTTCAGGAAGGATGTTCTGATGTTCTTACCTTTGTATTTTTCATCAACTCTTTTCTATCCATTCATCTGTACCTTTAAATATCTAATTTTTTAGTAGACAAAAGTATTTTCTTGCTGTGATTACTTACTTTGCTTAGCTCTGAACTGCAGTGTGATTGTACCTCACACATACTCCCCAATTCATATATTAAAACCTAATTGCAGGCCTGGCGCATACCCTGGCAGCTAACGTTCTCACCTTGTACGCGCCGGGATCCCATATGGGCATCGGTTTGCGTCCCGGCAGCCCCGCTTCCATCCAGCTCCCTGCTTGTGGGCTAGGGAAGCAGTCGAGGATGACGTAAAGCCTTGGGACCCTGCACCTGTGTGGGAGATCTGGAAGAAGTTCCTGGCTCCTGGCTTTGGATCAGCTCAGCTCTGGCTGGTGCGGCCACTTGGGAAGTGAATCAGCAGACAGAGGATCTTCCTCTCTGTCTTTCCTCCTCTCTGTATACCTGACTTTCCAATTAAAAAAAAAAAAAACTAATTGCCAATGTTGTAGTTTTAGGAAATGGGTCCCATAGGGTTGGCGTTGTGGTGTGGTGGGTTAAGCTACCACCTGCAAATGCCGACATGAGATTGGAACCCTCATGAATAGTATTAGTGCCTTTATTTTTTTAATATTATTTATTTGAAAGAGTCATGGGGGGAAGAGAAGGAGAGACAGAAAAAGACAGATCCCCCATCTGCTGCATCTGCTGGCTCATGCCTCCAATGGCCACAGAGAGCCAGAGCTAGGCCAGTGTGAAGCCAGGACCCCTAGGTCTCCCACTCAGCTCAGCTCTGCTGCTTTGCCAGGCACATTAGCAGGGAGCTGGATAGGAATGGAGCAGCCAGAACATGAACCAGTGCCCATATGGGGTGCTGGCACAGGTGCCGGCTTCACTGGCAAAGCCACTACACCAGCCTCATAGTCCTTTGTTTAAAAAGACCCCAGAGGGCTTGCTGACTCCTCCCGCCACGAAAGGTTGCAGCAAGAAGGCCCCAGCATCTTCCAGGAAGCAGTTGTCCGCTATGCCCTGGACTTGGTCTAGGACTGAGATGGTTCTGCAGCTGCCGTGAGCTCCCTCATCTGCGGTAGAGCCTGCACATACTGACACAGCCTTCGTCACTTCTCTCGTTCTGGATTCTCACAGTGAAGTCTCGTGTTGCTGTTTCCTCTGCTTTGGTGATTCATGTTCCACAAGCATCCTTGACTATCTGTTAAGTTTCCTCCTGAGGCAGGGAAAGGCCTCTGTGGGCGCAGATGCGGCAGACCCCCTGGGAGCCTGGAGGTGGACAGTTTATTTCTCAGAGGAGGCTCCCCACAGTAAGGAGCCAGAGGATTTTTCAGCTCTGGGTCCTCAGGCCCCTCGTTTTCATCTTTTACGCTGTGCTGCTGACAGAGCCTCAGGAACAGACTGCTTCCGCGTGGGACAGCACTGAGGAGTAAGAGGTTATCAGTCATTCACCCGCTAGTATGAATTCCTGTCTGCGCCATCTGCTTCTCCCAGTCCTCAGCTCACTGCAGTGGCCCTGAGGAAATGCAAAGCTGGTTGATGAGAGAACAGGTATAAAGCGCGGGTACTGGGGGGATCACAGACTCCCCAGGCAGGAATGTAGGCCGATTAGAGAGCGCTGCCATCCGGGGATTAGCAACCTGGGTCTAGAAGCCGAAAAGAAGTGGGAAGATGGACAAGGGTTTGGTTGTGTTCAGAGCCGGGGCTACATGCAAAGGGGCAGGAGCTGACCTAATTCCGCCCCCAGCTGCCTCCAACTCAGGGCTCAGCCACAGAAAGGCCTGAACAACGAGTAAAACCGGGAACCCAGTCAGCCTGAGAAAAATGGTTTCCAGGAGAAAACACGTTCTCCTTCCAAGTCATCAGCAGACAAACAACCCTCTGGATTGCATCCCGCTCGCCGACAGAGGCTTGATTCGCCGCCGAGAGGAGCCAGCTCCAGTGGGACCCAGGGAGAAAAGCCATTAGCAGAAATGAGACACAAGGACTCTGCGAGGCCATCTTTTTTCCCTCCTTTATTATTTATGATTTTGTGACTTTGGTTTCTGTTTCCCGGAACCAGTGTTATGGTTCTACGCCGACTTCTGTTTACTGGAGCAAGAAGATGCTTATCAGCAGTCACGCCACAGACGGCGAAGCAGTCAGCCTTTGGACCGGCCTTGTCGTCATTCTTTGATATTCTGTGAGGCAAATTATTTTCTGTGCTTCAGTTTCCAGAAGTTACTAGGGTCTGATGTGTGTGTGTGTGTGTGTGTGTGTGTGTGTGTGTGTAGCTACAGTCTTTACACATGCACACACACCAAGTCCATGGCGAATGGAACTACAAGAGAAGTTTACTTTGAAGTCATCCATCTGAGAGATCTTCCAAAAATTCACAGAAAACACATACTATGGAAAAAACTACACACACTTAAAAAAAATTTTTTTTTGCACTAAAATAAACCTTTCAATTCCCTTTTCTACGAACTTTTGCAAGAGCCTGTGTTTTTATCTGTTGAAGATAATGTGTGAATTTACTAAAAATTAAAGAACTGGGTGTGAACATAGGAACTGCAAGAACTACGCAAAAGCAAGCTGACCTGACTTCACCGTAGAATGTCACTTCCTGGAAAATCTGGCACCCAGGGTTCCCTGGAAGGCCCCATGGCTTCTGGTGCAGTCTCCAGGGGGGAGGGAGGAGCCAAGTGAGGCCTGTCTGGGAAAGGGGAAGTGTCCCAGCAGCAGCCCCCGCCCAGTGGGTGGATGACCTCTGTGCAAACACTGCAGACATACTAGGTGTCAGGGAGGAGCCACATTGGCCACAAGCAGTCACTTCCTTTTAGCCAGTTCAGTGCAGAAAGCAGTGGAGGCAGGAGGCGCTTGATTTGAGGGAAGTAGCCAGGACAGTCCTTCTTGGCCTCTGGTGCACTGGAGGCTTCTTCACCAGCCAGAAAGCACGTGGCTCACCACATGGCCCAGGCTGTTGTCCTCGTACCATGGGCTTTAGGCTCACTGTGCTAGCCAGCCAACAGCTCCCTGCAAAACACCTTGGGGAGTGCACGCTTGCTGGCTTGGGCAGAGGCCTGGCAATCCCTGAGAGCCCTGTGGTAAGACAGGTACACATGGAGGTGTTTAGCAACATACATGAAGGGGCTTCAGAAATGTCATGGAAGACACTGGCTATGAAGAAATTAATCATGGGTTTC